AGTAAGCTGTAGCTGATCCAATTGTCACAAATATTTTTGCCCTAGTTTACAAAAAACTCACCGATCCACCAGTGGTTTTTCTTGCTCGTTGAAGGCGCTGCCATTCCTCATATTGTTCATTGCCTTGAGAAGAAAATCTGCAAACAAAACCAACCAATATTTTTTAGTGGTTCAATGAAATTAGTATTGAAAATCGAGTGATGACGTCCATCTCACGATAGGAAAACTATAGACGTGCAAAGCACACAGGTGCTTCCCAGTAAGGATGCAGCTTCACAATGACAGTTTAGGCAGCCCTGGTAATGACGTTATGATAAGCGCAGCAAGCAAAAACGCAAACCCAAAGCATCTCATAACAAACGTTTTAACCTGATCTGCAACTTCAGACCAAGCATGCCTTTGAATTGTTAGCACGGCCCTCTAACTCATTCCAAAAAGACCATCGGCAGCGGTAGCACCAGGAAGCATGCAAGGCTTTTAAACTCTTGAAAACTAACACCTAACTAGCTTTTAAAATCGGGTCACAAAGATAAAAACCAGTGGAGGAATGTCAAAAACAGACAAAAAATATCAAAAACGTGCACAGTTAACTGCAATCGATTCTAAAAATAAACAAAATTCCCAAAAGACAAATCAGTGCTGAGGATCTCATGTGACCGATGTTAATTAGATACTCGCATACACCGAACAGGCCATTCTCTCCTAAGGCGTACACTTCCAGTTACTGTTCACCGCCTGCTTAATGCGCCCCAAAATAAATTATGAACAAAAAATCACCAAGATATGCAGTGAATTTTTGGATGAGAATTGGACAACGCCTTCGCCATTTGTTAAAGATCGCTGCACAACACGAGATTGACGGGCAGACAACCGATACAGTGCCGTCATTGACCAATTTGTACAGACTTTGATCCACGCCGCTCAAAAACGTTTCCGACGGATGATCCATCACGGGCACTACTCGTTCCAGAATATTTATTACCTAAAAAAAAATGCGAGAATGAAAACCAGATACTTTAAATATTGTATTATGTACATCGAAATTTTTCGATTTTTTCTTATCCCTAACTGTATTTCTTATTTCTTTTTTGATTTATTCTCTTTTTTCTTATCTTTGACTTCTTTTCTTTATAACAGCAACAAGAAATATTCGGACGGCTTTCGTTAAGATACAAGGAAAAAACAGAGACGACGGGCAAAACTAAAGATATGCATTCTAAGAAACAACGTACTAGCTGCTCATAGTGCTTCGATTTATGTCCTCAGCTCCAAAAGTCTCAAGTTCTTTCGCTCTTATCTCATTCTTCTCCTGCTGCCCTCACTTTCACCAGTTCTTTTGTAGAATTACAGCAAATAAAGATCAGTCGTCCCGGATGCGAAGGAGATGCACATACATCGAACAGGCGAGAGGCACTAGTGGTATGCAGCTCAGAACTGGACAGGCTGACAGATCCTGTGCCCGGAGGATGAGGGCATCCAAATAACAACAAAGCACGGAATATCACACCGCCTGTGCATGCAGTCTTGGTATTATTATTTCTTTCGTGAGCAAATTTACCTGCTCCACAATCGGCCTTTCCACTGATTCCTTTTTGCTCGCATCCAAGGAAAGATATGGTTGTAACGTCTCCACATGCCTTACGAGCAGCTCTGGCTTTGTTTTACTGAACAACAGCAGTGTGTCCATGCACGCCAGCAACTGTTTGTGATGCTCCGTCTGCTTCTCCACTGCCTCTCTCGATGTGACACCGTCTTCTTTACAGGTATTACTGCCCTTCGTTGCTGCTTTACTACCTAAAATACACCATCACAGGCGCTAATTTGGAAAGAACCAAAAATAAAGAAACAAACTATACACAAAATAAGATACCACAAAATAGTTAGGGCTGCCAACTACAGCTAGAGGCAAGAAACACTAAATCCTGTAAATCCCATCTGAAACAGCGCCGCTGCCTTTGCATTTATGCGACTGAAAACGTTTCCTAACACTAGACTTCTTTATAAGGGTACTAATTTCAGCAAATTCGCGTTTTTATGCAAAATTAACTGTTTCTAAGCTGATTTATGCACAATTTAGCGCAATAAAATACTCCAAAAACTATTTGTATTTTCGTAATAATTTTAGTCCAATGATTTCAGTTGTATCAATCAAGTTTAATTTCATTCCATTCTTTGTGAAATATGACTGTACACTGGATTTCTCAAATCCTTCTCAAGACAATTCTCAAATCTTTCTCATTCCCCTTTAGGATAAAGGAAAAGCGGGCGTAGAAAAACAATGGTTTTCCATTTTCTTATCCCGTTAAAGTCTGTTAGCGGTTTTTCAGCGCCTAAATTAGCCAAGAAGTGCGAGGAGGAAAGTGCTTGCATGACTAATCACCCGCTTAAAAAAATAAAGTACGAAAGGCTAATTATTCTTGAGAAAAGTTCCACACCACAAAAATCGCGTTCGGTAGTGAGAAAATGATATCGCAGAAATTCATTTCTATTAATAAAAACTACTCTTACCCGAGGCCATTATAGAATCAAGCGACAGAACATTGTCGACAAGAGTATCCACAATTTGACGAGATGCAACCAGAACAGCGCGGTCATTATTTTTGTAGAGCAGATTCAGGAACTGTTCAAAATACCGAATCTTCTCACCACAAATCTGCATGACATTTGTCACCGTGAGCACCTGAAACAAAAAAAATCAATCAGCACTGTCCCCATTGAAATTTGCCAGTTCTAAGGTTCCGGCTAAAATCTGAAGTATTCCCCTTACTAAGTACATAAATCAATAAGTCAGATTAGTTCCTGACCTAAATAATGATATAAAAGACAATATTGGTCTCCTCGACCATATGATTCTGGTCTAGTTGCAAAATAAAAG